CCTGTTCTTGTTTTAATTGCAATAATTTAGTCTGTGATTTATACATGGTTGGTTATAGAAGATGACCTAACACTTTTTGGCTGCTTTAAAGAAACACAGGGGAAAGGTAAGAGAATAAGTGAAGTCTACAGTTGAATTGGTTAGAATTAGGCTGTTAAAATGAAGGAATCAGGGTGTAATAGGAGCACAAAACAGTTAAACCTTAGAAACTGACACTGCAAACCGTGTGGAAATGTAGATGGTAGCCAAGAGCTATCCTGGTTCTAGAAGGTGTTTCTATGATGGAGACGTACCTCATAACTCAGTGTTTCTTTGACGTAGTTGTTTTAGCTACACTTTAATGTGGGAAAGACAAGAAAACATGTCATTCAAACAAGGAAATAACGTGTTGTTTTTTTAAGGGGGGAAAAGACTTTAAAATGTATTTTGGGAGACATTTGGACTTTGTTTTAAAACAACTGCAGTGCTAAGGGGAACTTTTTGCTTTCATGATTTAGATTTTCTCTGACACAAGCTTTGTGCAAAAAATCTTTTCTTTTGGTCTTTTTTTTTTATTTTTAGAGTAATTTAAATTGGAATAATAAGTATAAGGGCTGTGTGCTTTGTATCACAATGAAGGACAGATTGAATGACAGTGTTTCATTTGTTTTAATTTTATTAGACAATGATTATATAATATTCAGCAGACAAGGGTAACCCAGTTTTCTCAAAGTTTCTGCTTCAAACATCCTCCTTTAACATTTAAACTAATCTAACTTAACTTTTAAATAATAGCTCTTCCCAATGTAATGAAAGGAGGATTTATTTCTATTCCGTCTGTTATTCCAAACAAGAATCAACCTGCAGATTCTTACTCTTATTCCTATAAAGCTTCTCTGACTCTTACTCTTATTTTTACATCAATTGTATGTTTTTATTCCTTTGAAGTGTTTGTGTTTCTGCGTATTGTTGGTTTCTCCTTCTGAATCATCTTTTTTTGTTGTTGCAGGTTGACTCCTGTCCCGGGAACATGGAGGAAGATGATTCCTGCATAGGACCTCACCTTTTCATTCTCCTGCCTGTTCAGACTCATGCTGAATAATCTCACTTGCTTTAAACTTGACTCATTATTACTGTTTATGTTAGTCTTTAAGTTATAGGTCAGCCCATCCAACGCCTCTCACTCTGTTACTGGTATATATTTAGATGTTTTGTTTCTTTTTTTGGATTAAATTTGACGTTATCGGCTCTATTTGCCATCAGGACCATGTTTTAGATAATTGTCATCATTCCTGTGGTTCTTACTCTGTATGGACAGCTGGTAATGAACTGATGCTAATAAGATAAGGATTAAAGATTCATTTGTAATATTTGCTATATGAAAACGAAAAATCAGAGGCAAGGGAAAAAAGTTTCAACTGGTTGAAGAAAAAAAAAAAAAAAAGGCAGATTGTTCTCATGACTAACCTACAGGTCTTAGATGTGAGATTTTCTTCGCTCTGCAACATTGGTTCTTTATTTTTAAAGTGACTTAATTTGTGTCATGTTTACAACAACAAAAAGAAGGTTAGACCTGCTTGTTTTGCTTCCTGCGAGGATCATTTTCCCGAAAGGACCGCTTTCTCGTGCACAGTTTTATCACACTGCTTTGCTTTTTCTCATTCATGAAATGTTATTTAATGGTGTTAAAGCACAGTAAAAACAAACACGAAATAAAGGAAACAAGCTTCTTATTTACCAAAAAGAAACCTGGTGGTTAATGTGCCGTTTACACCTGACAGAAACTATGATATATACGCTCCTGCTCATAAAGATAGGGGGAAAAAATTCCTTTATAGACATTTTAGTCCTACATTTTATTGCTGTTTGTTTCTTAGGCTTTGATAAATAACAGCTAAAAAATGCTTACTTTTTAAATATAATGAAAAATAAGCTATATTTTCATTACTAGTACATGAGAACAGGTAAAATATATTTTATTCCAGCTTTATGGACAACAGTGTTGAAGCTCAGCTTTGACTTTTCCTTTGTTTTGGATACAAACGTAAGAGGATGGCAGTAATAATTGAACCATATACCAAAACATATTTTGCAATAAAATGCTCTCAGACTGGTAAAACTGTTCTGTTAATTGTATATCTCTGAACGCTGAAACATTTGTAGAGTTAATCATTGATCATTAGTAAATCCTTTAGTATGAAGCAGCTCAGGTAACTTAGCATTTATTTGAATTTCCTTTAGAAACAAAATCTTTTTAACTAAATTCACTTTTGCATTTTTATTTTGTGATTTACAAACATATATTTCCTGTCAAAAACCTTAAACATTTGTTTCTTTTCTATGGCTTATTATTAGGGATGCACAATATAATCGGCCCCCTATCGGTATCGGCCTGTATCGGCCTTAAAACTGAATATCGGACATCAGCCACCCCACCGATATTTAACCCGATTTTTGATCAGCTTCTGAGTTTCTAAAGTCTAAAAAAAAAATAAAAAATACTACTACTTCTTCTTTAAAAACTTCTTTTTTACAGACTTAAAAACTTCTAAAGTCGAGGGAAAAATATTGATACATTAAAATATCCCAATATCTTCATATGCTGATATATTGCCATTTAAAAACACCATATCAATCTCTTTTACTAATGAAATATTGCTATATGTCATCGTTATGCTACGAAATCCCCGGAAAATTCACGAAATTTTACCATATTTTTATATGTTGATATATTGACGCGGTATCGATCTATTTTACTAACAAAATCTCACAAGAATTTGCAAAATATCACGAGAGTTTGTAACAGAACGATGAAATTTCACGAGATTTTGAAAGTAAAATAGATCGATACCGCGTTTTTAAAAATCAATTTGATATCAGCATATGAAAATATATTTGAGTATATTATTTTTCAAAGTGTCAGAAATGGATAACAAAAGTATTTTCAATGACTGCTTATTTTTGTCCAGCTTTAACATCAGTATCAATATCGGTTATCGGCTACATGAGTTTTAAAATATCGGCATATCGGCCAAAATCCCAATATTGTGCATCCCTAGTTATTATTAAAAAAAAAAAAGCAATAGTATTCAATCTTTTGGCCCCTTTTATAAGAGGCTTTGGTAATCTGCCGTTTTTTAAAGGTTTTGAGCTTTTCTTAGGAGGAAGGTTGCTCTGTTTGAAGTCTTCTGATTAATAATTATAATGACTTATCTGTGAATTTAAATCTTACAGTCCAGCACGTTTGTCTGCTTACAAATGGAACCAGTTTGTTTATCCTTAATAGACTGAAACAAAACCCTTCAGTTTCATCTTGACATTGTAAAGACCTGCAAACTTTCTTTTACATAGTTTTTCCCCCCAGTAACACAATAGCAGAAGACTAAAAATATTTAGAATATACCTTAAACACATTTGATGCCCATTATTGTTGTTTAGTTGACCCTGAATCCCCTTAACGACCCAAAATGTATTTCCAAAGTGTATTTGGACCCCTCTGGGATCAGAGGGGAAATGCCTAAATATGGGCTGTTATTTGGAACAGGGTTCAAGATCACTGCAATCCCCTTAACATCGGCGGCTCTAAACTGATTTTCTCTGAGGGGTGGGTGGGGCTTGATCTTCATTGGGGCACAGAAAAAAGAACAATATTTTATTGGTTTGGAACTACAGACTGCAACTAAAAACAGACCCTATCTAAACATGGCAAAGGTTAAGAGTGCAACATCGTGATTATTAAATAATTGGTAAAGTAAAACTAATGGTTGAAAATGAAATTTCCTGTTTGTGTCATAACAGATTTAGTGTTATCTCTTCAGGACCAGTTCTGCAGGTGCACTGGCCCCTGTCTAAAGGCCCCCATGCTGCTGAGAGAGGAGATATCTCTGGTGTCCTTTTCTCATTTGTTCTCTTAACTGTTCCTGCACTGGAAAAAAATCAATCTAGATCAGTAATTTTTTCTTAAAATAAGTACTGAGAAGGTAACAGAGACATTTTGCCAATGGAACAAGAGAATTTACATTTAAAATAAAACGCAATTGCATTGTTTTATTTCAAGTGCATTTTATCAGAAAATACTTTTCACTTCATTGGCAAATTATCTCATTTATCTTCTTAAATTAAAGGTAAATACACTTAATTTTTTACTTATTTCTAGATCGTTTTCCAGGTTGGCTCTGGTCTTGAGTTTTTTTCTTGGCAAGTTCTATTAAGATCTAAGTCTGGACTCGGATCCAGATGAATAACTTCTATTAGTTTCCCAAGCTAAAAGGTCTGTTTTACTAGTCAAATATTTCCAGACTCTGGTTTATTTTTAAATCTCAAATCTGACAGAGAAACAATTTGATTATTCCACTCTAAAGAAAACAAAGGTTCTTTCAAAGTTTGAGATTCATAAACCTTTATTCTTGTTTGTGGAATAAGAAATAAATTTAAAGCTGCAGGACTTCCTTAGTTTGAAACATGGTTGGAGTTAAAAACTAACCTGACTCCGCCAGAATGATTTGCTCCGCATATCCATCTGGAAACCTTCATTTGAAGACATTTTGGGAAGGGGCGAAAATACTGGTTAGCTGATTGGCCTATGTTGGTGATAGACGGGCCAAATAAACCAATCAGATCAACGAAGCATATGACGTACTAACAGAGCGACGACGAAAATACAAGCACAAGCCAATTGATAGATCAAACTCTTGCCGAAACCAGTCGGGAGAAGAGCAAAAACATCTTTTCCTCTGAGAAAAGCCTCCAGAGCAGTGTTTTGCTCTTCTTTCAGTGAAGAAATACTCTGTAAATCTGATAAAACTTGCTCGATAGCCACGCTAACGCTAGTTTCATCGGCTGAAGCCGCCATGTTCTTTAGACTGAACTGTCGCGCTTCTCGTTGCGTCACACCTCAACCCGCCTCAAAGCCAACGCTGATTGGACGTTCGTTTGGTGAACGGCTCCAAATTTTCTTCAACGGAGAGTCTCCAGACTGATTTGCGAGTGAAACCTTGGATGGTCTCACGAGGCTAGTTAAAAACTGCAACAGTGTTTAAACCTTAAGGTTTGGGGGCGGGGGGGCGCACCTCCGAAGCCAATCATCTTTCAAAATCCCCTTCATTTATCTCCTGGCCTAGCTTCTCTCTCGTGCATACAAGCAAACTTTTACACACCTCCACCCCTTCTCCTCCCTCATTCTCAGTCCCACTCACCCTGTGGCTTATTCCACCACCGTATCGGTGCCATGGGGGAAGACTTATCCTTTTCTTGGGTGGCTCATCCAAGCGAGTGTTGATTCAAAGTATCAAAGTGTTCTGCAGGGGCACAAGCGGCAAATAAAATATTTGACATATGACTTTATCTTCTTTAACCCCAGTCGGCCTCGACAGATGGCCGCTCACACTGAGCCTGGTTCTGCTGGTGGTTTCTTCCTGTTACAAGGGAGTTTTTCCTTTCCACTATCTCTACAAGCATGCTTGCTATGAGGATTTGCAGAGAGTCAATGAATCGATGCAATCAGTTGATTTTCCTTAAGAACATTTTAAAGAATATGATTATTTTACCTGTACAAATAAATTGAATACTTCGTCTCTCCAGGTTGACTTAATCATCGGACATGAGTGATTATCAAACCAAACAATTAAGTCTAAAAAATCGGAAGTCATTAAAAAATGTTTAATATTTTCCGTCAAACATTTCAACTAAAACATATTGCTTATAATTTATTTTTAAAAAAGAAACAAAACCGTTCAAGATTGGTTTCTTTTTTGTTTTTATTTTAAATGCAGCGGCTTAAAGGTAAAGAAAACCCAACATTAGTTTTTCTGGAAATGAAGAATATTATCTAACACTATTTTAGGTTTAAGATTTTTTATCTATAAATGCCATGTGATACCCATATTATGACCTACATGATCACTGGGAAAACTGATTTAACACGACTGTCCTGAAGATCATCATAAAAAAAAAAAAAAATATACCTGCACTCAGTCCTATTTGGCAGGGAAAAAAAAGTGTTAAAGACAGCTGGATTGAAATCAATTACATTTAATAATTGAAGCAGGAGTACGCGGAGAGAACCCACACATGCACAGGGAGTACATGCAAACTCCATGCAGAAAGACCCCGGGCCGGGAATCAAACTCGGAACCTTCTTGCTGCAAGGCAGCAGTGCTACCCACTGCGTCACTGAGCAGCCCTGCTTTGAACTTTATTATCATTTTTATGAAATATTACAGCTTTAAATGTTTGGCTCCTCTGTTGTTATCCAGTAACTTCACAGTATTAAGAAACAAGCTTGTAAACAAAAGTGCTCCAGAAAAGAGCGTTAAAATTTATGTCAAAATAAGTTCCTTTTTTTGCAGAGCAGCATACTGGTCAGCAATCTGCTGAACCTACCTTGACATTTGGAGATGATGTTAAACATAAAGTAGGGAGTAAAGATCCCCACTGGAGGCTCTTTATGCTCTTCTAA